GTGCATTTTGTTTTTCTTGCCGAAATGTAGAACCTTACTCTTTTCACCATTGAATTTCATTTTGTTAGATAGAGCCCAATCCTGGCCCAAAACAGTTTAAGGACAACTGGATTGCTGCATTATTGAAACAAATACGGGTGGCTTCTTTCCTTCAGCCAAGTAAATCCTGCTGTCTCTGCAATGCAAACAACTCCACTGAAGGAAATCCCTTTGCATGTATCTATGATAAGTCTTGTTACCTGGGACAATAATGAATTATTTGTTGTGAATGAAAGCAAAAAGAAAAAAGAAAAAGATCCTGCTAATTATTCAATGTTCCATCAATATGAAAATAAAGTTGCTTTTCTTTCTTATAATGAAATAAAGCAAAGAATGATCATTCTTAAGATAAATATCGAAGGGAACAACTTGCATGACTGTGATCAAATCTGGCAAAAGACTTTCTGTAAAGCGCTTGTGTTCTTACTGTGTCCCCTTCAGTTTGCCAGGAAGCAGTATGGGAAGCTTTCCAGATCTTTTTGGATCGGATTCCCGGTACAACCGAATACCAGAACTGGGTGACAGCTTGTCAGAGAGAAACTTTCTATATATTTGACATTGGCAAAAATTTTAGCAATTCCCAAGAGCACCTGGAGATAATTCAAAGGGTAAGACTCAAAATCTGTTTTTTAACTATGTAGAAGTTTCTATATGTAGTAGCAATGCATAAAAATATTAAAAGAGCAAGAAAATGAGGACTTGAACTAATAATTGAATCATGCCTGACATGATAATAGATTGTTATCTCCCAATTGTTGGTTAATTAACTCCCAAATAATCCTCTTCTTTCTCTTACATTTTTTTTGCAGCGAGTAAAGCACAGAACATTCCAGGATAGGTACGTATTCAAAACAGAAGACTTCACATGTGTATATGTGTGTGAAAGTAAATATGTGCTTAGTCAATATGTTGAAATCTATTCGATGACAGTCAAGAAGGATGAAGAAAAATATAATTGCCTCTCATTCCTGAGTACTGTTCTTGACTGTCAACATATCAGGATCATTCATAAAGAATTTACTTTACAATCCTATCCAGTTTGCAAAAAAAAATCTGAAGTCATCAATCTCATATCTGATCAATCTATGCAAAATTTTGCCCAAAATTGTGTATCAAGTTTTAAGATGCAAGCACTTAAAAAATTTGTACTAGCATGGCTGAGCCCATAAGACGAACGGCTGGAAGTCGTAAACCTCTCGTCCCCAAAACCCCCTGAGGTCCACATCCTTATCTCTGTCTCCTTTCTTGAGTTTGAGTTTTGAGTTTGAGTTTT